GAGACAACTATGAAATATCTGATACTTGATGTAATAAACAAATTTAAAAAAGGAAAGAGAGAGAAGAAAAAAGAAATAGGACGGTGAAGAGGAAGCGAGACGCAGTTGTTAAAAGTGCCTAACGTGTCGCGACAAAATGCTCAGTCTGAAGCGTTTACTTTTCAGAGGCTACAAAAGATATTTTAATACGCGCGCTCTCTGAACGAGTACGGCACAAAAGAACCGAGTAGTACGTTGCAAAGGAACGTTTTAGACCGAGCGCAGATCGTAGGCCATCAGAATCGGATAGAGAAATAAAAATATTCAATCAGAATCACTCGGAATATACGTACGTGTAGAATATTCAATAACAATTACACGTTTCATTCAACCAAACTTATAGATAACCCCGCGATATCTATAGAGAGATAGAATCTGCGCGAAGATTTGTTATGAACCGACTTCAACTGATCAAATCCATTCGTTTATTTATTAACTTCTTGATCACTTCGTGGCTTGAGAAATTGAAGAGGGGAAAGGGATGATGAAGAAACTTGGAAAAAATAGGAAACAGAAAATTCACGCGGACAATTATCGACGCGGAATTAATCGAGAACGTGTTGAATTTCAAAATTCACACTGCTGTGAAAGAAACGTGACCTAAATCGCATGGTTTTCAATTCAAAGTTCTGACAATTCTTGTCGGCTCGATTAATTCTCGCGAGGTGCTTTTCTATCGAACGTGAATTGAATACGATTTAAAAAATATAATTTACACGACAACGCGAACACTCGGCTCGCTCGTACTTGTAATAATACTTTCACAATAATACTGTACGTGATAATTTTTCATAAAATTGCTAAACTAGAAATGACTAGTTCTGTTATAGAACAACTTATCACACCTGATAATAGACGCTTAAACTTCGACCTTGCCAGCAAGATACGCTTTCAACATCGCTTTATTAATACATATTCATGGCCTTGAATGATTTTGTGAGATAGGTCATTGAACTTAATGACACGATTCGCTATTATTCCATGCTGATTTATCTAATCTAACCTACATTCGCCGCGACTAAACTACCTTAACTCTGACCACTATATACTTGATGCTAAAATTATCTTGATATTTATCTAACTAACTGTCGATTATTATCCTGAAGAGAAATTTCGTTCTTACCCGTGAGAATTCCTCTTGTTTTATTTTTTAATCCTTACGTCCCATTCTATTTTATTATTTTTTCTTCTTTTTCTTTTTTTGTTCTTACTTTTTTACTTACTCTGAAAAGTCTTCATCATTTATTTCTCAATCCCAATCTTTAGTTATCTTTTCATTTTTCTGAATATAAAGATATCAAGCTTTCTAAATTATCCGATTTCTTCCTTCGCCGTATAAATGACCAATCAGTTTCAGCATTCCAGAGTCAAAGGTTTGTTCAAATTCGAAATTCTCTCATTCGAAATGACGTTGACCTTGATATGTCAAGGACCAACTGTGTACAGTGCTTTCGGAGCCAATTAACAACAGTAGAATCAATTTTTGATTCAGTATAGAGCCGTGGTTCCCAACGTGGAGCCCATATGGGCGAAATTGGATAAATGAAAATGATTCTTTAAATGAAAATTTAACTTTCTAATGTTTTCTCTTTCATCGTCCTTTCTCGAAGCTTGTTCAGACCAAGTGAATGGCCTTTTTTAGGTTTCCTTCACTTTTTTGAATAAATAAGAATCACGTGTGACAAAGGTGGAGCATCAGGATTTTAGAAGTTAGGTGCGGCATGGCCAAAGAAAGATTGGGTACCTATCCCTCTGATAAAATTGATCCTAATTAAAAGAATCAAAAGCCTAAGCCTATGCCTAAACTAAAAACTTTGAAAATCGAACCTGAACCTAATCTAAAAATCTTGAATTAGACGGGAATTCAGTCTACCCCGATTTCTGTGTGGGCCCAGAAATATCGAGTTACACTCTCTCCAAAAAAAAAAAAAAGAAAAAATCAGGCTACTGGAATCGGACTACGCGAACATTCGTACGTGCCCGACATTTTCCGATCGAAACTGACTACACGAGTCTCGAGTACCCGTAAATTTCTCGGATACCCGCACACACCTAGTTCAGTCACGTAATTTAAAGCCGGTTGCTTCTGAAACATCCGACCAGCGCCGCGATTTTAATAATCCCGTTGCCTCCCGTGATTTAATCGCGAGCCAATGTGCCGGTTAATTCACGCCGAGTGAAAGATTCAGAAAGTGCATAATTCACGACCGACGTTGCGAGAAGCGGCGTGCCACGTGCTTCTGCTCGGATGACAGCGTTTATCAAAGAAATGGCCAACACTTGACCGGGAAACTATGAACCTTCGTTATCTGTGCGCAAGGAGAACGAACTCGTGATACCACGTGCTCCGTTCGATCGTCGGATGTTATTACTCTAAAAAAGAGTAATCGATCTCGCGTGTACGCCGGGCAGATTTCGCGGAAACGTCGACGACAACTAAATACGTTAATCGGTCAAACGCTGCACGATCAAATAATAAATCGAGTAATGGTTTATTTGACAAACGCTGAACGAAATTATGCTCGAAATAAATGATTCGATGAATTGGACTTGATCGAAACGTGGAAAGTTTCAAATAATTAGCCTCCTTGCGCTGGAATGACGTGCCCATTGGCCCAAAATTCCAATATTTTCTCAGTTTTAAGAAATATATGTGTTTCACTATAATATGCAAATTTCTCAGTTTTAAGAAATATAGCGAAATATATATATATAAATTCACTATATTTCACTATTATATAAATTTCTCAGTTTTAAGAAAAATAGCGAAATATATAGAAAAAATGTATTTCATTATATTTCACTATGATATATTATATAAATTTCTCAGTTTTAAGAAATATAGCGAGATATATGTGTTTCATTATATTTCACTATAATATGTAAAGTTCTCAGTTTTAAGAAATATACTGAAATATATATATTTCACTATAATATGTTATATAAATTTCTCAGTCTTAAGAAATGTAGTGAAATATAATATAAATATAAATGTGTTTCACTATAATATGTAAATTTCTCAGTTTTAAGAAATATACTGAAATATATGTATTTCGCTATATTTCACTATAATATATTATAAATTTCTCAGTTTTAAGAAATATACTGAAATATATATATTTCACTATAATATATTATATAAATTTCTCAGTTTTAAGAAGTATAGCGAAATATATACATTTCGGTATATTTCACTATAATATATTATATAAATTTCTCAGCTTTAAGAAATATGTGTGAAATATGTGTATTGATATAATATATTTTATAATTTATAAAATATTATAATTTATAATAAGTATTTATAATTTATAATTTATAATATATAATAAGTGAAATATAACCCAGGCAAAGCAAATAAGTAATTTCTGTCCAGTGACATACCGATGTTTTTCGAAAAGAAGACGAATTGTTGTATACGGTTTGGTCACTCGTTACGGTCCGCCGACCAGTTACTAGCGCAAGAGGTTTAAAACAAACAGCTGAATAATTTGAATTTTCATTTTCGTGTTTTAAGCGAACATCGTTTCACCTGAAACGTTTTTCCAATTAAAATTGAAATTCGTCGCGGAGTTTTCGTCGAATTTTCACGTTTGAACTTTTCAGACATCCGGCGTGCAACAACATTGACATTTCAGACGGCATTACACGAGATATTTTACACGCCGCTCGTTCCGCGATAACAACTGAACTGAGAAATATTAACGAAGAAGAGTCAGAACTGAATTTGTAAAAAAAAAAAAAAAGGCAAGAGCGTTTTTGAATTTTTATCAGCGTGCGTTACGGACAACGCTTTGGAACATAACATCAATGAACTACCGACTTCTAAAAACCAATTACGGACAAAGACGATTGTCACTATCAGTCTTAGATAATGGTCACAATGCAAAAAAGAGACACTAATCTCGTATACAATCAAAACTTAGATAAGGGGAAATTAAGTTTCATTGTATTCAATGGTGCTCTGCTTTAAATCATAGTGAATTATTGCATCCTCGTAACTAACAGTACCAAACTGTTACCTGCTACGCACCTCTTTAATAAATTAAATTTTTATTACTGCAGAATAGGCCGGGAAAATCTTCTAATCTTAAATTCATCGAAAGCTCAAATTGAAGCTTAGATTGTAATAACGTTGAACGTTCAATTTTACATTTAAGTATTATATTTCACGTGTACCAGTAGAATATAATATAGCTATATACATATATATATAATATAGCTATATATATATATATAATAATATTTTCCAATAATCCTGAATACGTATGTATTTACTGACATTACAGAAATTATTTGAACATTTACAATATCTCCCATTTGGAAATTTCATATTGTGTGAAACATTTGAAAATGTTAAATTAATTGTAATAAAACTTTGTGTACTTTGAAAGCAAATCTAACAATATAGATAATCTAGGATATACTAAAGATATACATAGTATATCTAAGATTATACTAAAAATATACATAGTATATCTAAGGATATACTAAAGATATACATAGTATATCTAAGATATACTAAATACATTTAGGATATACTAAAGATATACATACATACGTATGCAAGATATTTAATGCAAGTACATATGTATTTCGCACGCACCACGAAACTATTTAAACAGTCAATTATCTATTATTTTAATATTCAGAGGAACCACTGACCTGGTTAAATATATATTCGTAATAAACATCTTGTAACTTCTAACACGTAACAGATTTACTTCAAATGTTACCAATATACATATAATAGTCGTCTCTCGTTACACTGCTAACGAAATTTCAACAGAGCACGCAAGTTTTTTTCAATATATACGTACATGTAATTTGATCGCTGCTGTAAAACAATTGCCGCTTGCTCCGTTCTTCAATGTGTTTGTCAAATTGTGCCTCTCCTTTGTCAGAGAGGCGACAGCGACAGTGACATTGAACCAAAAACATAAACATAGAGGGAAACGTACCATGACGACACCAATTCTTCTAATTCTGATAAAAGTCACAATGGCGGTCCTCGGGCGAATGAGCATCAAGATGTTCCTCCTGCGTGCCGAAACATTTATCGTGCACCACGTGTCCACGTTGAGGGTTTCACAATATCAATTTCAAACAGTCTCACACGTACGATAAACCACAAGTGAATCTATCTAGTATCAGAAAGCACTTGAAACCGTTTAATCGCCTCTACAAATTCCCAAGTTCACTGGATTCTCATCATCAATCTTTCGACGCACTGCTTTTTAAAAGTAACCGATTACAAGCGAGACAACCATTTAATAAACTTGCCACTTGTTTCTTGAGCTTCTTAACAAACAAAAGCAATAGTCCCTCAATAATCACGATTATGTTATATTATATTATCTCTCAATAAATTCCTCCTTTACGATTCTATTAAAGTTTCTATTAAATTTCTTCGATCCTTGGGCAGATTTTCATCGATTATTTCAAAGAGAGAGAGAGAGAGAGAGAGAGAGAGAGAGAGCACTGATTCGACGAGATCGTCGAGTTGATTTTATTTAAGATCGAGTCCTGTCGAGCGACTTTTCGACGTCCTGCGAAATCTCGTCGCCAACATTGATGCAACGATGCGGCACATCTCACGAGGGAAGGAAAACTTTCACGGGACAACCGATCCCATTAAATCTTCCTCGATTTGCACACCGGCCAAGATTCTACTCGACTTTCATCGCGAGTGAACTGATAACACCGGGATTTCGTGAATGACTTTCCAGCTCTACGATGGTGCCCGCGTACCAGCACGCCTAATATTCCGTTAATTTCTGTCCGTTCGTCGAACCGGTTTCCTTTCTGTCGCCGTTCGAAAAATCAGCCACCGACCGTTTCATTTCACCATCGAGACGAACGTCGTGAAAACGCACGGAGCTCGTGCGTTTGATCGATTTCGAACAACAGAGAGGAGAGAAAAAAAAAAAAAAGAAGAGAAAAAGAAAAAAGAGAAGATCGATCGACCGATACTATGATTTACGCAGTGAATCGGGATGGATCGCGCGGCGAGCTGCGTGCAGAGGACTCACGACAGCGAAACTAATTTAATTCGGTTATTTATCATTCGCGGCGCGCGTCGTATACTTTACGTAATATCAACAATCCGCGAGACAACAAAAATGTTTCACCGATACACAGTTGTACACGCATACGCGTACCCGTATGTGTGTCCCAGGTTTTAAACGACCACCGACCGGGGTGAGACCTCTTCTTTCTTCGTTTGTGCCGTTAACGTTATCGGAACAATAATAATAACGATAAGTGATTAACAATTCTCTGTCGACGATCCACGCTCGAAACGGGAAGAGAATTGATCGAACGTTTGCGCAACGGGGTCACGTATCGTTAAAACACACGCACACGCACACACACCAAAAAGAAAAAAAAAAGAAAAACAAAGGAAAAGAAAGAGAACACTTTTTACGGCAATTGACACGCGACGCTTTCCATATTATTTACAAATTTGCGAATTTCTTGCTTGCCGAATCAATTCCACTGAGTTCACTCGTGGCGTTGTTGCTCGTTGTGTGTGTGTTCCGGTTTCCAGACGAGTACGCGTCGAACGTGCAAACGTGTACGCACGGCCGTGTAAACACCAAAGTTGCCTTCTTTTTTTTTCTTTCTCCAATGAAATGGTCGTAACGGTGTCGCGTAGAACGCCTCGGGTGCGCGCATGAGGACGGCCGAACTAATACTGATAGCTGGCAATGGTCTCGCCAATGCATACGACTGTAATGCCTCCAAGATACGGAGTTGTTCGCCTCTGCTCTTGCCCGCTCGCACTGCTCTCCCCTTTATATACAATCGGGCCTTCTGCGCGTTCATCCGGGGGACGAACGCCGAACACGTGGACTCGTACGATCAAGATTCCAAACCACCCAGTATTTTTAAGATGATCGTCGCGTAAGTCACGCGTGATTGAAGAATCCACCTTTTTTCTTTTTTTTTTTTTTTTTTTCTTCGTTCGTTTCCTTGTTTATCGTCCACGTGGAAACGTCAACGCAATTTATTTATATATCGTCGATGACCGCTGCAATCGTGGTGTATTTGTCACTTTGGGTGGATTCTCAGGTTAATTCAATTCAATTCGAATTTTACTAAAGATAAAAAAAATAGGTAATTTTATAGGTATAAAATGTATAGGTAAATATATAAAATATATATAGGTAAAATATAGGTAATTTTATAGGTACAAAATATATAGGTATAAAAATATAAGTAATATTAAAAGTATAAAATATAGGTAATTTTACTAAAAGTAAAATAATTAATTTAATTCAGAGGTAAATTTAGACTAAAGGTAAAAAATATAGGTAAAATGTAGGTAATTTTATAAGTATAAAATGTATAGGTAAATATATAAAATATATAGGTAAAATATAGATAATTTTATAGGTATAAAATATATGGGTAATATTAAAGGTATAAAATATAGGTAATTTTACTAAAGGTAAAAAATAATTAATTCAATTCAGATTTTACCAAAGGTAAAAAAAAAAATCGGGAATAATATACAGATAAAAAGTAATTAAGAGTAAAGTAAGACATTAAACTAGTGAAGGCTATTTTTCTTTTCTCAACGAATATTATTTTTATCTACTTTTTTCTATTCTCGGAGGCTTCATCGAGTGTCACATCTTCTTTTTTATTTTTCATGCACATTCCTAAGTGATATCTTCTGGAATCTGGATTCTTTCAAAAGAGGAAATAAATGATATTGTCATGCCTTCGTGCAATACTAAACTATTAATGTGTGTGTACGCTATCAACGTATGCACACGCATTTTTAAACAATGCAAACTTTAGCTTTATAATGCGCAGTTATGTTCACCAAAGAGTTAAAACGTTTCCTAACGATTCCTGGATTTTTCTGTTAGCGACTAGCATGCATTTCCACGGATTCCAAGGAATAATCATTACTCCAATATAATGTACTACGTGATGACACTAATCCAATCTTCTTTCAATCTATTTTTTCTTCTAATTCTAACGATATAAATTCTTTTCTTGAGTTGATACGAATATCCTTGCAATTATATTGTAATATAATAATAATAATATACAGCACATAATTTAAAATGTAATACACGACATAATGTAATATAATATAATATTACATGTTATATAATTGTGATATAATATGATAATACAATTATAGCGATCATGACAAGCATAATTTCAATAGAAAACACATCGTTGCAATTATTATAATTATTGTAATAACTCATTCCTGAGAATGTTATTGAAAGAAACGAAGACTCTTGGAACCTTGAAAAAAAAAAACAAAACAAAACTAAACTTTGGTAGAAAATTATTCATCAAAACATACGTTGAATATTAGTATTGAATATTATTATTGGTTTTATATTTTTCTTTTCGTATCGTGTGCATTCTGCACGTCTCTCTCTCTCTCTCTCTCTCTCTCTCCCTCTGCCCTTTAAAATTCTCTACGAAACGGATGAAAATCCGTAATTATCATCGCGGAGAAGATTCTATGAAAAATTTGGTGTAACGCAAGATTAAATTTAATTTAAAAAAAAAAGGAAAAAAAAATCAATGGACAGGATTTAAATTCACAGTGACTGTCGAATGTTATTTCCAACGCAGAGTATCCAACTTCGTTATCAGAGTGGAATACTAAAGTCGAAACGAGGCGGAAAATGTAGAAAAATCAGTGGTAAAATGAGAATGCGAAAATAAAAATCGTGTTTACAAAAATTCACCCTGACATTTTGGCAACTTGGAGGCGATACCTCCGTCATTTTTGCCCGAGTTGTTCGGAACGATTATAAAAATTCATTCAGGAATTTTCTTCCTGGCTACATTTAACAAAATAACCTCTGTGACCTTTTCCGAAAATACGGACGTCCACTGAAATCAATAAGCTTTTCCTTCATTGTTCAGAAACGTCCTTTGAACGAGTTTGTCACGCTTGAGACACCGCTGTTATCTATTTATCGGACAACAAGTCAAATTCTAAGCCGTGATGATTTTGAAAACTTTTGAGGAGAATTTTTCGGCGATTTACTTCATTTCTAAAACGATCGCTAAAAATCTACGATTGTGCATATCGAACATACGTGTATTTTTGTAATTGCTTTGAAGACGCATCAAACAATTTTTGAATCGCGTGTAATTCATATATGTACAATATAATAATTAAAAAAATTATTTAAATATTTCAAATGGTCGTAATTTCGTAAGGAATCGTATAACGATGCTCTTGGTCACATTTTAAAGCCTCATTTTTAGAGTCTCTGTTTTGAGTGTTCTGAGTTTGGTTTTTCTCAATGGTGTTTTTACGTCATACAGTGAGTGAGAAAGTAAGAATACTCTTATTCTCGAAAATTGTCAAAAGTCAAACGCCTCTTATTTATATATATATATGGTAATATACGGTACAATATATAGTATACATTCATATTAATGAAATATATACTGTCTCATATTTATATTATGTATTTAAAATTTTAATAAAAATGTTAACATTTTTTTATGGGACGATAAGACCCTATAGAATTAATTTTATATAAATATAAAATTCTATAGAGTCTTGTCGTCCCATAAAAAAATTTTAACATTTTTATTAAAATTTTAAATACATAATATAAATATGAGACGGTATATATTTCATTAATCCTCTCATTCTCCTCCAAATTTCATTTAAAAATCAATTGATTATGCTGCCTCTGTACAGTCAGTTATACTACAGCCATTAACTTATTCATTGGGCAGATTGACTTAAAATTATTTTCAATAAGACATGTTTTTGATAAACAGGCCTAATCCTTTATATTTATATATCTTAATTATAAATATAAATTACATATAAATTATTACTAATTTTATCATTATATCTAATTTTAAAAAATTAAAAAAAATTTTTTTTTAACAATTATATATATATATATATATATAAATAAGGTTGAAAGGTTGAAAAATTTTTATACGATTAAATCTACCACGATCTTAAAAATTGAAATCTCCCCTTTGCAACGATCTCTTAAAATTTGCTGTGCGATTTTTTTCCATCATTTCATTGGACTCTGAACGTTAGTATTAAACGTCGAAATGTTTCTTTAATTTTCAAGTCGTTCAATCCTAATCGTTCGATGTTCAACAAAATGAGGAGAGAGAATCGTACGGCAAGTTTCAAGGGATCGTTGCGAAGAGAACATGGTGAATTTAATTTTTCAATGTTTTTGGAGTTGTTTGGAAACGAGACCATGTGCATTTGATTTTCTTCAACGAAATCACAACAGTGTGAATATTGATAATTTTTCATCGTCATTTGTTCAATTATGTTCTCACTGTGTATCTATATAATTTTACATTGAATCGAACGCAAATTCTGAAATTTATGACGAGGAAAACACATTGTAATTATGTTACCTGGAATTTCGAAACGTATCTGAGAATCGCAGGAAAAAGGAGAAACGACACCTTTTATCTTTTAATTTAAAACTTCGAATTTCCGGAAACCGATTCCGCATGCAGAACCGCCTGTTTGTCGAGAAAATTTATCGCGTCGTACTTGAATTTTCATGCTCGAGGAAACTAAAAAAAAAAAACAATAAACAATTTATCGTTTTCCATACTCCAACGCGAAATTTTCACGCTGCTTATTTTAATTAATTAAATCGGAGCATTGTGTTTTATGTCTCGAGTAAGGAATTGATTAAAACAATCGTTATCATTTTATAATTTAATTCACGATAATACGAAAATTAAATCAATTACAAAAATCGTATCACTAATTTATGAACGTAATGCTGTTTAAATTAAGTACTTTAAGTAACTGCGCAAAAAATAAAAATGAACGTACGTGTATTGGTGTTTTTCGTAACGAATGATGTTGACATTTGATGATGATGTTGTCGAAGAAATTTTGAAGAGAAAGTATTACAATAATTAT